CAGACGTCTTTTGATAATGCCCAGCAGACGAATAGTTGATGTGGGCTGAAGGTTTCAATATGATCGGCTGTTTTCAAAACTATTTAAGTGTCAGTCTTTTCTTAAAGATTATGGAAATATTTCACAGTTGTCACAGTGACCTTGGAAATATTTTACAGTTGTCACATTGACCTTGGAAATATTTTACAGTTGTCACATTTACAGTTGTCACATTGACCTTGGAAATATTTGTCTAGTTGTGCGATATGAAACGGGACGTGTTTAAAGATCGCTAGTATATCTGAGGTTTCGTTGTTATTTACCTTGTTCTCATTTAAGAACGTGACATTATTTAAAGTGATTGACCAAGATTTACAGGAAGGCTGTCATGCATGAAGCAGAAGACGCTTACTCTTCCCGAAGACCTGGTCTCATTTTCCCTGTACATTTTCAATAGTCTCTGCGTGTAAATCTTTCCTTTATTCATATTTTGCCCTACTTTCATCTCGAATTTAATATTCTTTTAACATGTCGGTATTTTCTTTGTTTCTTCTTGTTCGATGTGTGACTTTGATTTGATCAATTCTTTTGTAACTTCGGCATATTTCTGAGTGTGTAGAGAAGATTAGAGATTTGTGTTTAAGCCTTCAGGAATTAAAAGTATAATGTATACACAGTGTACAATATCGGGTATAACGCCAGAACAAATTATCAATTATCTCTCTTTATTTACGATACGCCATTATCGTGTTATGGTTTTTACTATACGACACATTATCAAAGAGGATGGGGCGGCAGGAATGTTACTATCTAGAAACAGGCGATTCAAGATAAGAAGCTTCGAATACTCCCACTTATCACGCAGTTTAGAAGAAACCCGGCAATGTTTTGTTCAGGGAAAGTCGATATAAGATGTTTATGTAATATGTTGTAGTGTAGCATAAGACACTCCTTTAATATCTGACGATTGGGGTTGGGATGTAGACATACTCCTTTGGGTGGAGGTGGGGGGGTTGGGGTCGAGGTTGGGGCGGGGGTACACTCTCCCCCCCCTCTCTCTCTCTCTCATTGTTTAGCGTTATTTAAGAACGGAATGACGCTGAAAATTGTGTAAGATATGACATAAACCAAGTGTTTTAACAGTGTTACAACAATCAGTTATCTGCAGCTTCAAATGTCGCTCAACGAAGAGGAAACTGGTTGTATCGACCCGTCAACAGCCAGTGTCGTTTTGAAAGGAGCGTTATGGTAGTAGCTGGTGGTTAATCACTGAACAACATACGGGAGGCTCGGGGCACAACTCTTCCATTCACTTAGTAATTGATAGGTGGTATCACTTTCCTATGACAATAACACCCGAACCATATTGGAAAAGTTCATCTACAAATCAAAAACTAACCCCCACCTTATCCCCATCCCCAACACACACACACGATTAAGAGCAAACCCAATATATTTTGACCAATTTTCAAAAAATGGAACCGGAACTGCTGAACATGTTATATGTTATCAAATGGACCAATCGGTATATTTTTTTCAGTTGAAGGATTTGATATGGTTCATGTTTAGTATCATAAACGTGTGAAAACTAAATACAGTAAATAGCAACACCTACAGGTTGTGTGTCTGCATGTGTGCAGTATATAACCGAGCAGGAAGTATGAAGGTATTTTGTAGAAAAATTAATAAAAGAGGAATGCTTTTCTTTGTTCGGAGGCGCCAACCATGACGGGTATTCAGTATACAATTCTGGTCCTTTATATACACCCGTAATCCTAACCACTGATCCTGAGGGAAATCTACACCTATTTAGACGTAAGTCATGTGACGAGCAGACGACAGGGTTTAAAACATTTCGCTAACATGGCGTACAAAGCGGTGTGTCGACTGATGTGTATATATGGATATAAACCAATGGATATGTAAACTGTGCTCTTTATTCACTGATGAAAATGTCAGATGGCAGGGCGCCAAATTAATCACAGAATTACCACAAATTGTGGAAGCCATGTTTGAAACTCAGTTTACCACAGGAGGTGACTATGAACTCCCCGTAGTGTTTACGATAATGTGATATCTGTTTTGGATCCGATTCTGATTATGGTATGTATACTTCTAAACTTTTACTCAAATTGATCTGGACACCGATAACGGGTTTCTAAATCATAACTTTTGTCGAATCCATCTATTTCACGCCTGAGCTGGTTTTCATTGTGTAACATATTGTGTGCAGCTACTATATAGATTTACACATACAGTTCAGTGTTAAGTTTAAAAGTGTTAAAATATGTCACAACGCATGAGGGACGACGAACTTCAGGGACATTTTAAATATACGGGTCTGTTTTCTTTTTAAGAACTTGAATACATTTTGTTTATTTAATATCTGTTAGCTGAGGTAACGACAATTAACAACTTTGCTTCAAAAATCCAAGAATACAGCTCCTGTGTATGGATAGACGCAGTCCGGTATGTACTCATCAATATAAGTTTACACACTGTGTCTAGTTTGCATGTCGTAAACTCTACAAGGTATGTTTTTGAAGGCTTAATTTTTCCACATTTCAAAAATAAACGTTGATAAAACGTTTTATATGCTAAACTCACTATTATTGAATATCAAACCCAGAATTTTCTGTATATTTGTGTAAGGTTCGAAAGCGTGACTGATAAACTGCTACTTTGTGAATACCAAGTGACCCTGAAGTGTGCCCTCCGTGTGCTACTTTCTCACGTTTACAGCGGAGTACAAGTTGCCGATAAGATCGACTCTGACTTTCAAGATGCTTGAGTACTATCAATTTTGTTACTTTTTATCATTTTGTTTGACATTGGTATAACCTCTATGAGTTCGCGTTTGACGTAAGAGTGTCGTCAACTTCAAAAAACGCATGGAAGGCGGTTTGTTTTTATCATCAAGTTGTCCAAGTGGACACACAGGGTATCGTTTATCCCAGCTTATCCCAACAAACGCATTTTAAATGTTTTCAGCGTTCACGAGCGGTTAAAGAAATTTGAAAACAAATTACTGTTTAATATCTGTGGGTGACGTAGGTGGATACAGGCGAGTGAATTTGCTACCTATATGCCCAAAATTGATTACTGGCAAGATGTTTGATTGCTGCAGGTAAAATACAGGTAAACATGGACATAATACAGGTAGACCTGAAATATGATACATGTCGGGGGTTATCAGGAATCTATTCATTATATGTATATATATATATCGATTTTTCACTAAAATAGACAAAATCTCGTCAACGCACCGAGTCTTTATCACCGCTCCACTTCTCTGGTCTACCCATGAAAGCAGCTGTTCATAACTATATATAGGACGTTAGGCCAATCGTTGCTCAAGGTGCATGCCTTAACTGTAACCCCCTCCCCCTTCCCACCTAGACCCATCCCTCTCATTACAACCCTGTAAAATAACATTGATGGCATTCGTGTTTCTTTATTCGGCAAAACATCCTCTGTGTTGATACATTTTTATTCACTATATTAACACAGGACAAGGAAAGTAACACTTCGTTGTAATTAGAAGTAACCGAACACCATATGTCATGTAATAACATCAGAAATTTCGTTTTTAAGTTGAAATTTTATCTCGCGAATTTATCGATCAAAAAACCTTTTCATTTGGTAGCCGGCCACACAAGGTCACAATAATTGAATAGGCTTTGTTCCCAAATATAAACACGATCGGTGGTAACAGGGCCTACCGTGATGTCCCCATCTTATCAAATCGGTTTGCCTCTATCGGTACATGATTTATACAATGTATTAGACTTTCTAAGTAATCTCGGCAAGGAGTTTAGCTGCTGTTTAAATATTTGTCATCAACAAAAGAAAGTTAGTTTTTCAATATCCGGTTTGTGTAGATCTAATTATTTACTGTAAACACCAAGTCGATCACGTGTTGACTGTAACAAAGAGAAACTGCTAATTCTCTGTATATTGAAATACTCGGTAGCCAAACACACTAATTCTGTTTAGATGGATATTTATATTTACCCCCCTCCCCTTGCTCTCTCTCTCCCGACTAAGTTTATAAATGAGCTCAGAGTCTACTGGTCCTTATATGATATTTTATTTGAAAGTTGGCGATAATTTAATGTATTGATTCTGCGGGATTTCATTTGCCTTTACATTTTGATGAACACAGTCATATGTACATTATGTTATATGTAATCTTATGTAATTATTCCCATATATACAGCTGGTGACGGGAAATGACCGTACCGCCATTTTGACCTTTACACAATACTTATTACATACACTTTTCGCTGGATCTGAGTCACCACGACAACTGACTGATGGAGCAAAAAAGGACAAATTGTTTATAAATCGTATTCTTTCTCTCTACAGTTGTTTATACTCACTTGAAAATACGCGTAGTATTAAAAAAATTACGTAATACAACGATAAAAACTATTACTCGAAATTGAAGAAAAATCATATTTGTGTGACGCAACGGACCATTCCGCCATGCTGATTACGAGTAAATGTTTGTGTTAGCCTTAAAGCCGACTGAACACTTCTTAATTCGCCTTATTTTACAGTTATTATTTTACTTTTTCGCCTTTATTACGTACAAGGTACGACTAAATGTTACTTTTACAATGGATACATATTTTGTTTATTTCCTGTGTAATTGTATGTAGACTGCTTCAGACTCCCATTTAAATGTTGTTAAGTGGGCGTATTAATATACCCAGACTTGACATTTTCATACGTCAGAAATTAATGGTCATTACTGTTATTGTACTGATATGTTGGTGTCACATTAGTAGTACCAGGCGGTATTTGACTAGGTAACGGCGCTTAGTTAGCTCTTAGTTGTGCTTAGTATGCATGACTTAATGTTTAAGTATTTGCACATGACGTATTTCAACCCCTGTAGTTTTGTGAAAGAAACTGAGAATTTACCAGTATTTAGTGTAAGAATATCACAGATACATTCTTAATAATTGATTTTTTTTTCGTTTCAGACTTAATGTGAATTATCTACAAATCCAAAGTGGCGACGAAAAACCCGAAAGTCTTGGCGGTGGGCACCGTCAGACGTTCATCATCCCTTCGGAATGTCTCTAAGAGGAACAAAGGTTCCGGAACGATCCGAAGAACGAGCAGTTTTAGTCTCCTTGCAAGACCAAGTAAACCAGGAGATCGTCTCACAGTGGAAATCTTACAAGCATTGTCTCCTTTCGACTTAGCAGGAAATGACGTAGTCTCAGAGGCTGCCCGTGGGCTGCTTTTGAACAAAGTAAAAATGGAAAAACATGTGCATGACATTTTTTTCCCGCATGAGAAAAATGACCCACGATTGGAGAACTTTGACACTCGAGGATTCCCGGTAGACAAACTCGGAACTGCTCTTGTAGCACAAGCTATTTCTACAAATAAGGACGATCACAAATTCCACTCTATGATTGATAAGCGCGCCCTAGCGGACGTTCTTGAAGGATTATATAACAGCCTACAATGGAAAAAAATAGGTAGGATACATTTTCTTGATATTTTACTGGATTTTTAGCCCAGTATATCAAATAGTGTGATTTTCTTGTCCGTGATCCGTACTCCACCTGTCCGCCTGTCCGTTGTAAGTTCTTGAGCAATTCCTGTATTCACTATTTCTTGGAGTATCGGACAGATCCTTCTCAAACTCTATTAGTAGAATCCCATTGGTTCTAAGCAGTGCTCATTCAATTTTGACTCAGATTCAAATATAAATTAGCTGACTTGCCGCCATCTTGGATTTCGACAGCTAAACATTTGTTGTTGCTATGACTTGAGAGGTAATTGAAGAGTTACTATATATATTAAATATTCGTAGTTCCTCTAGTCCTTATTTATGCTATTTATAGAATTTCAAAGAAGGTTTCCATTGGTTCGTATACATATATTTGATTTGTAGTCTTTCCTTGTTGGTTGGTTTATTTGATGTCCTTCAACAGCTAGGGTCATTGAAGGCAGACATTCCTATTTGTGCAAGTGTTGAGTGTGTGTTTTCTTGAAGTTGAACTATCATCTGTCCTTGTGATAGAACTGAAGCTACTATATAGAAGTAGACTACCGACGGCATTAAACAGGACACTCCACACAGTTTCTTTGTACCACAGCACTGAACGTTAATCAGGGGGACGTAACTACAAGTGTTATAGACTGGTACGTCTCGACTGGGGGACAAAACCCAAAGACAACTTCACAAGACGAACGCTTAATTAAAGTCCAGATGTGAGACATTGTTGAGGGAGACGTTGGGGAATATTGATGAGAAAGAAGAGAGATCAGATCCCAGACTTAACCGCCATGAAAAAAGCATGCGTGAGGGCACCAGTTACCATTCTTATATCATACCAGCAAGGCAGCATTTGTCGGTATTTCTTCTGTAAAATTAATTCCTATTTTAATACAACATATTATTAACAACAAACAGAGAATAAACGAAGAGAAAATAAGTTCAAACGACCCGACAATTTATGAAACAATAATTATGGTCGGCGTGAAGACCTTCTGAGAAATCTTGCTGTTTCCATGATGTTATTTGTTGCTGAGGTTCAGTGGCGAACTAAATTCACGCCCTGTAACGCTATGGTTGAAACAACCTTACTCTTGAAATGTTGAAAGGTTCTATCGTATACTATTTAAAAATGACGTACCTGATATCATGGGGTATTATGTCTCATTCTTCTGGATGATTTGCCAACGCTAACTATTCTGCAGTTACTGTCTATCATTCATCCCAGGCTAAATGCACTGGAAGTGAAGTTAGATCTGTAACACAGACGACTAAAGACAAAGCACTTTACCTTTCCGATGTCAATGCTGTTTGCCCAGTGACATATTTCCCGGTGTGACCTGACCTTCTTTATGGCGTGTTCCTGGCCATGGACCAAACATCCTTACATACTGTGAGATGTCAGCCATTTGCATGGTACTGTTTCGTTACACAGTTAAGGTTGACGCTGTCGTCAGCTCGTAATAATCCTTTCTGAAGATGGGTACATTCCAGCTGTATCTCATTTCCATGTACTTTGGAAAAGTTTAATTCAATTCTTCAAAATTACTATTATCTATAATATATTTTTCAGGTTCTACAGATGCATTGTTAAGACCACGACTTTCGGATCAATCTGTAGTTTTAATTTACATGGTTATGTTAGATTTTTTTTAGTTCGAGTTCTCTTAAATCAAGAATATTAAACAGAATTACATAAATTCCAAGCGAGTTTCCTGTTTGAAATGTAACAAAACGTCGGAGCGTTGTTGTGAACTTTTTACGTATCGTGATTTCAATTACAAGCGTTGTGAACATTTTTTCCAACAAATCATATTTTATAGGATTTTGCCTTTATACGCTGCTGTACCCGGAGGAAGTGCGGAATGACGTCATAGGAGTATGTCTGAGGGACTTCATAGAGGACAGAGGGTAAGCTGTATAATGTTGATGTAAAATTTAACAAAAGCTCTACGTAGGTAGAATAAGTTCTAAACAACCATTGTATTTTATATTTTGCATGCACACGTGCATTAAAATGGATCATCTAGACAAAAAATTGGATCACCATATTTTAAAAAAGATTCAACAACATATGTCTTTATATTTTTATTTGATTGATAACTATGTTTAAATTTTGATTACACTGCGTAATCACCTGAACCACGCGCTAGCAGTTTACTACTCATTGTTAGGTAGGAGAACGTCACTTCCGGTGTAGAATGTTTCCGCGTTCTCTCTGTGTTCACTTCATTCGCCATTTTATTCCAGACATGTTTGGGCCGAGAAACTTCTTTCCTTTATCATGGAACCCAGGTGGACGGCGATGTGGCAATACAAGATCGTGCGTGGTCAAGCCTCAGAAGAAGAATACAATCGGGAAATGAACGCCCTTTTCGTCAAACTCCACTTACTAGACCCCCAGTCTGTCATTCCTGCCTACCAGTTCCTTCTTAACCAGCGTGGTAACTATTTCTTCAATTTTTATGATTTTACCGAGTTGGTTCCCTTTTCCTCGTACGTCGTATTCTGTGGGCCTTTTAAACTCATTCATCCAGACTCTTGTCTCAAAATGCACGTGTTACGACAAGAAGAACTGGAATCACAAACGTCTGATTGAATGAGACCATCCTTACACAGAACCATATACCCTAGGACTGTTCATATAACTGCCTGTAGATGGCGAGACGATCGTTTTCTGTCCCGCACTTCTGCTTATTGCAGTTGTCGCCCTGAACACAACCTACATGTGTCAGCGTAGCAGATATAAAAAAAAAGAAACTTTCAAAATTGTACTTAATGACTGCAAAGGAGATTAACGGAGATTGTTACATCTGTTTATGGGACATATCGAGCATTATGTTATTGGGACGTATATAGGACTATGTTACCTATTTAGGCACCGCGACAGATATTAACGGGATATGTAACATACTTAGACGCGAAGAAAAAGGTTACTCGCCAAACCGTCAAGTACCTGGATTTGTGGATTTGACAGTCTAATACTTGACTTATTGACTCTTAGAGTCATTTTACTTATATTAATCCTTGACATTTTCATAAGCACTACATATAACTCTATTTCACATAACAATGGATTCGATGAAGTATGAGGATTTAAAGTATTATGCGGGTTTATCGAGCGTGGATAGTTTCAGACAAAGGCACTGATTCTAAGTACGGCGTGTGTAAGCTCGACAGACATTTATTTAATCGATATTCAAGCTATACAAAGCTCTTAATTGTTTCATCTTTATTTAAAATGTATAAATACACAAGGATGTCAGTTTACTGGACACAGAGAAGGCATACAACATTTTTTACTGAATATTTCTAACGTTATCAGATATATGAAATTTACGAGTTATGGGGATGGTGCACCTAACATTTAGATTTTTTTTCCGAACACTTTGGATTTTCTTCAGTCGCCTCCTAAGCTACAAATTCAGATGCTAAGCTTTATTTTTAGTTAACAATAAGGGGCTATGTAATAACTTCAATTCTCAGTAGAAGCGTTTAATTATCAGGGGAATTTTACCCCTAATCTTATAATAATAGAATACTCTTATACGATCATATGTTTCAGCTTCTCTCATGTCGTTGAGGGTCTAGCTTACATATTTAGCTTCTCTCGTATCGTTGAGGGTCTAGCTTACATATTTAGCTTCTCTCGTATCGTTGAGGGTCTAGCTTACATATTTAGCTTCTCTCATGTCGTTGAGGGTCTAGCTTACATATTTAGCTTCTCTCATGTCGTTGAGGGTCTAGCTTACATATTTAGCTTCTCTCGTATCGTTGAGGGTCTAGCTTACATATTTAGCTTCTCTCATATCGTTGAGGGTCTAGCTTACATATTCAGCTTCTCTCGTATCGTTGAGGGTCTAGCTAACATTTTCAGCTTCTCTTATGTCGTTGAGGGTCTAGCTTACATATTCAGCTTCTCTCATGTCGTTGAGGGTCTAGCTTACATATTCAGCTTCTCTCATGTCGTTGAGGGTCTAGCTTACATTTTCAGCTTCTCTTATGTCGTTGAGGGTCTAGCTTACATATTCAGCTTCTCTCATGTCGTTGAGGGTCTAGCTTACATATTCAGCTTCTCTCATATCGTTGAGGGTCTAGCTATTTCGTTGAATATTCTATTTTTTCTGCGTTGCAGAGTCTAGTAGCTTCTCTGAAATCGTTCAGGGTCTAGCTGCTTCTCTGTCTCTCTTCAATGCTGCTAATCTGGCTACTCTGAGTCACTTCGGAGTCCATTTCTTTGGTATACATAGAATTATGTTAGTAAATTACACCTTGTTAAATAGAGTGAGTAGCCCCTGGAACGCCAAACCATATTATATCATACGTTGTAATGACGTAATAAACAGATCAATTGTTCTTGCGGATTGTTGTTGTATATAAACATCTATTTATAGATCTACTTGTTATGGATTTCAACTTTTTGAAAATTCATTTATCTGATTTTTTTTCCTTTTAAGCTTTGCCAACTGTAAACTTGGAGTTGGCTACCAGGAACTACCTCGGGGATACTATAGATTGTGCAGAAATACAAGAGGATGTTCTGGACGCTCTAACGAGATCGAGCATGCCTATAAATGTATCCCGATTAAGTCTGTCGGACATTGAAATATTCTACGGTGTGGAAGTCGACGAATTCATTGTGACGTCATGTCGTAATATTGGCGTATGGAGCGGAAACAGGGCAGACAATAGTAAAACATCGAAACCACGTGACCGATGTTGTGTCATGTGATTTCTTGTGTTTCCTCTTTCCTTCATACAGCTTAAAACATTTATTATTTAATTTGTATGAACACTTCATGTTGATAGAAGTTTGATGTCGAAATTATTGATATTATTTGATATTACATGTATTTTAAATACAGAGAGACAGGCAGGATGGGAATTCACGTGATGAGTTACGTGGTGATTAAAGTTTGTCATGAGGCACTGTTTTGTGTAATAAAATTTGATTGATAGAAATATACATATATTTGCAAAGGAAGTTATTTTTAGATAAGTTACAGCAAGTAAACTGACTAACGCAAGAAACCTTTGGTAAGTATGAAAACTTGATTGAAAGAAGCCAATACATTAAGGGGCGTGGTCACTCACAGTTGATTACGTCATCTTTCAATGAGATATTTATATCACATTTTCCAGATGTTATCCATTGTTATATCTGTGTCTTTTTTTATGTGTATTTCCCTATTGAGACGTGATGACAGAATATTGAAAAGACGTCACACATTCGCATATGATAGTATAATGTCGCAATGAAAACCCTTAAAGAGCCAGACCCACACCGTTATAGATATTTTTTCATATTTTATTGACTGGAAATGTTGTATACTAATAGTGATATATAAATAAAGTTTCGAATTGGAAATTGAAAGGGTACCGGAGATATCGGTGCCGGAATTAGTCTCATTAATCAACACCAGGATATGAATATTGATGAGGAAAAGTCACGTGATACGTTCAGACGCGGTCAGAACCAAAACAAAAATGGAGGAAGAGGTGAGTAGTACGTCCATGTGACATCGCTTGTAAAAAGATTTTACCGATAAATGCAATCAATACTATATATATCATGTATGGAAATCATCTAACGTATGTATTGATCACATCTTTCAATGCTTAGATATGACACAAAAACGTGCAGATTACGAGAAAAACTACGATTAATTGCAAAGAGGACCTCAAATAGGGGCTACAATACACTAACGAACATATCAAACATCGCGAAATGGATCTATCTAAAGCGAATATTCGATGATAAGAGTATTTATGAATATGATTTTAGAGTGATACTACACGAGATAGCCAAACAGAGAGCGATACAGAGTATGAAGCAGCCATTTTCCTTTTTTCGCCTCGGAGTCCGTCAAAACACGTTTTCTTCCCCACTGCCCTCGCACGCTTTCTGCCATGTTGGAAGACGGCAGATTTATTTTCAGATGGCAGCATTTCCCGCATAATTATGAATTAGCACTGAGTCGTTTCTAATTCTTTTTAAAAACTATTTATTACGTTAGATTGGTAGCGATTTACTTTAAAATTGCGGTATTACAGGGTTGGTCAGAACTTTTGCTACCCGCGAAAAATAGAAAATCATGACTTTTTTTATATAAAATAATATCGGTCGAGGAGTGGGTCTGGCTCTTTAAAAAAGAGATGTGATGACAACACGTTTGATATGGATAAGAAATGTTCTGTAATACTTGACAATGTAATTGATCTTCTACAGAAAAAAAAACAATCTCAATTTTCATTTCTTAAATAATTAATGGAGAGCATAAAACATCATTTCATCTCAAGTCGATTATTGACATCTTACAAAATCAAATTAATTCGATGGCAATGATATGTGATAACTTCAATAAATATTTGGTAACATAAATGTCGTTATGTAAACAAAGTGGTTTGAACTAGAGGTCCAGCTTTGCTAAAGAGGTGTCATGAAGACTTTATTAAAAGCCGAAATCCGAGACTAATTACGTATTACTGGACCAAAGCTAGATAAAACCAGGTTTTCAATAAATTGCACTATGTATAAATACAATATTGGACCAGGACTTTGTACAATTGGACTAGGTCTAATACAATATTGGACCGGACTTTGTACAATTGAACTAGGTCTAATACAATATTGGACCGGACTTTGTACAATTGGACTAGGTCTGATACAATATTGGACCGGACTTTGTACAATTGGACTAGGTCTAATACAATATTGGACCGGACTTTGTACAATTGAACTAGGTCTAATACAATATTTGACCGGACTTTGTACAATTGGACTAGGTCTGATACAATATTGGACCGGACTTTGTACAATTGGACTAGGTCTAATACAATATTGGACCGGACTTTGTACAATTGGACTAGGTCTAATACAATATTGGACCGGACTATATGCAATTGGACTAGGTCTAATACAATATAGGACCGGACTTTGTACAATTGGACTAGGTCTAATACAATATTTGACCGGACTTTGTACAATTGGACTAGGTCTAATACAATATTGGACCAGGACTTTGTACAATTGGACTAGGTCTAATACAATATTGGACCGGACCTTGTACAATTGGACTAGGTCTAATACAATATTGGACCGGACCTTGTACAATTGGACTAGGTCTAATACAATATTGGACCGGACCTTGTACAATTGGACTAGGTCTAATACAATATTGGACCAGGACTTTGTACAATTGGACTAGGTCTAATACAATATTGGACCGGACTTTGTACAATTAGACAAGGTCTAATACAATATTGGACCAGGACTTTGTACAATTGGACTAGGTCTAATACAATATTGGACCAGGACTTTGTACAATTATTCAAGGTCTAATACAATATTGGACCAGGACTTTGTACAATTGGACTAGGTCTAATACAATATTGGACCGGACTTTGTACAATTAGACAAGGTCTAATACAATATTGGACCGGACTTTGTACAATTGCACGAAGGACTATTTCCAATTACAACAGTACGATGTAAAGCTACGTCAATTTGATTGGAACATACACATGAAACAAATGAGTAATTCCCTTATACTGAAATTTTAAGTATTGATTCATTGTTTGGGAAAACATTTTTTCGACACTTGTTCATCAATGTTAAGGTTGATCGCTCATTTTGATATAAACTGGTCAGCTCCGACGTCCGTTCACAGCGTGCGCATTCCTCCTTCCATTGACTTGTTTTTTCCGAAGTTTTGGAGGTGGTGGTTTAGGTGTCGGAATGGAAGCTATATACTGTCGAGTAATGAAAAAAATAAGACATTTATTTAATTTTTTCTTCTTAAAACAAGAAAATCTATGCATAATATCAAAAAACATTAAATGTAGAACATGATAACGGAACAAGAAAGAGAAAACACAGAAGTACAAAAGGAAGGACGAGAGAACAATAACATCTGGCGAAATGTTCCAGGAAGGTGAGCCCATCAACCAAGGATGATGTTATAGAGTTATAGGAGATAAGCACGGACAAATCTTTTCTCATTTTTTTTTTTTTTTTTTTGTGGGGGGTGGGGGGGTTAGTCAAAGGTATAGATTTAGGTCAGGGTAACCTTAAATTGGTACATCTCAAGGAGGGGAATGCCTACCCCAAGTGTGAAGTTAACGTTATTATCAGTATAGAATATATGGCCTGGGTCCTATTTTATGTAGGTGAAAGATAAAAAATTAAGGTCGCAATTACCTACTTTTGATACGCGACAAACCGTGAACCCATATCCAAAGTTCCTGTGTTGTGTATAAGACAGGGCCCTAATAAACTCGCTTTTGATGTACGTCAAAGGTCAAAGGGTAGGTCTTAGTGACCAAATTTTGAAACGCGACACATCATACCACCAAGATGAACCCATAATTAGGTATAAAGATCCCTTGATGAATTGTGTAGAAGATAGGGCCCGGGTATGATAATGGAAGGACGGAAGGACACAACGCAAAGCTGTAGTCCCCTCCGGTTGCCGGTGGCGGACTTAAAGATGAAAAAGGTAACATATATGAGAGAATCAATTTGCATGTACATTAAGTTCGGACTAGCTACGACACTAAAGAAGAACGATAGAGATAAGAAACCAGTCTGATGCAATACATGAAAGATTGAAAAGAAGGTTATATTTCACAGAAACATTAGGCTATATCAGACAAGAAATCAACTCAAAGTCTTTATACTCGATTTTCCACATGAATGAAAAAGAGATGCTCACGTGTTTAATTAGTTCCTCGTTCACCCGTACATACAGCCATGTAAACAATTTCCTTTCTTCGCGTACAACCAATGTATACTTGTCCTGCAGTGTGTTCAGACCATCTGTGTAAGTATGATTTCTTACCTTCTTTAAAACCACATTCCTGAAAAAAGGAAGAAAAGTCATTTTAAATAATAGTGTTTATTGGCAGTGACACTTTAATAATACAGACAAACATTTAGACACCACAAAAAGGCCAAACGGAAACCGAACAAAAACAGTTAGATAATGTGAAAAACACAACGCCATGCAATAAATACAAATAACAAATATCAAGGGAAACACTGTGCACAAGAGGAAAATTTACACGGAGATCATTGAATGTTCGGGAAGGGTAGGCGTTTTTTGCTTCATTGACACATTCAAGAAATGTCATGCTTTCAAGGATACGTAAAAATGTTCATATTCACATTCTTTTTTAAAGATATTTTACTGGGTGTAAAAGTAGAAGAAAATAAGGTTTATCTAACAAATTACGATGAGATATCGGACATCGATCACGTGATTTAATGCACAGATGTACGATATTAATTTGCTTGGAACTTTATATCCTAATGACCCCAGAGGTCTGCAATAAATGTGCAGTACTGGCATACATATAACATTAGGAACATTAACATTACACCAGCGGATTGAAATTCTTCCAAAACAACATTATTGAAAAACCGCACAAGTGAATATTTAGTGTCAACAGAATTCCAACATGAATATAACAACGTAGAAAGGAAATGGGATAATGTATTCTCTGGACGTGTGAGCAGGCAAACAATGTATACAACACCACCAGGCATATTAACGAGCATTGAACAACTTCATAACGTACAGGAAAGTGGGAATGTTAAAAAAATCAAGAAATCATGGCAACATCATCATAATTCAAACTCAAATTTCATAAAACTGGTGTAAAACATGAACAAAAGAAAGCTTTACACGGATGCATCTGAAAAAAAGTACAAAGAAATTTAGACAAGGTGTTCCGGAAGAGTAAGCGTCTTCTGCTTTATCGACAGCACCTGCCATGTAAACCTTGGTTAATCTAAGTAAGAAATGTCGTATTCTAAAATGAGAACAATGTATGCAACGGAACCAACAGGCAAACTAACGAGCATGAAATGCGTACAGCTTCATGTCGATCAAAGTAATAGAATATTTCTCAATGTGATTTCTCTGGAGACCATACAACTTCCATAAAATTGTCATTAACCAGCATTTTTGTATATACGAGGGACGTAGTCAATAAATTTCTCGTTATTTAAAGACAATACGTCATCAATATATCAGAAGGTGAAATTAAACGACTCGGCAAGGCCTTTGTGACCTGTTTTGATAAACTCTTCAAATTGAGATCATAGCGATGACCAAAATCTTGTCCTCTAGTCTTTGTGAATCTGCATATTTCAAAACCAGTGTTGTGAATTTATATTAGCTCTCCACATGTTTTGCACAGAATCATGATATTGGGAAACCTGCTCTTGAATCTTTAAATATTGGATCTACTGTGACATGAAACCTGCAATATGTTTAGGCACAAGGAGTGTTACAGTCAAGAAATGGAAAATTCACAAATGGCAGGCAATACACCTTCTACAACATGTCACTTCTTTCTGTCGTTCAATACCATAAACGTACCTCTCATTCACTTCGGGATCTCGTTCGTGGAAGAGGGTAGTTATGTGTCCGACTTTTTCTGACGGACGAATTACTTGGTAACCCAGACTATGAAATCTGAAAATAGAATGTTCATATTAAAATTTCAACATTTCTTGAATTGTGTTTTTCAACGTTATCATTTGCCTTCAGTTCTATTTAAACATACCAGGTCAAATGGTTTTGTACTATTCACTTGTTCTGTAGCACGAACTTATTTAATTTCTAAGAGACAAAATTCTTCCTAAATAGTTTTATTCAGGGCCTCTTTGGTTTTCAATTGTATTAAAAAAACTTCTTTCAGGTAAAGACTTCACTTTAAGATCAACTATAATGGATTGTGATATGAAAAAAATCTATTTATATATAAATATCCTTCTTCGTAATGCATATTTCAGTTTTATTGTGATATGAAATATTGCTGCATACTAAAACTGATGGCTACATCAATGAACACCACACAAAAGGTCCGTCCAATGTTATCCAGAGTAACTGGGATATTTAAAGTGACTTTATTGTTACTTTTCAAAACTTTATATTGTTACTTATATATCATTATGACGTCATGTTATTGTATTAAATAGTATTAAGAGACACAAAGCACAAGTATTCTGTTATGTGTCCATAGAATGATGTATTTACAGACCAGACTGTAAATCAAAACATAAGAATTTCATCATATTGTTCGTGTTATTCACGAAGCGGAATTCGATTTTATTAATCATGTTCCGTACAAACCATGGTAAAAACAAGAATGACGTCAGCAAAATTGTTATGTAGGTAACCTACAGATACCTTTATAGGACGTTTCTCTCGTAAACATTTTTGTTGCAATATAACAAGTATATAGACTTTGGCTATGTTTTGTAGACCTACCTGTCTGTAACTTCCATGCATGTACTTACCTGTGACTTACCACACACATTACCTGTGACTTACCACACATACTACCTGTGACTTACCACACACATTACCTGTGACGACTTACTCTTACCTATGACCTAAATACTTACCTGTGACTTTCCCTCAGCCTTGTGACTTAATCAACATACTTACCTGTGACTTTCCCTCAGCCTTGTGACTTAATCAACATACTTACCTGTGACTTTCCCTCAGCCTTGTGACTTAATCAACATACTTACCTGTGACTTTCCCTCAGCCTTGTGACTTAATCAACATACTTACCTGTGACTTACTTACTAACTTACCTGTGACTTTCCCTCAGCCTTGTGACTTAATCAACATACTTACCTGTGACTTACATACTTAACTGTGACTTACTACAGACTCAAGTGTGACTTAATTATTTATTTGTGACTTTTACATTCACTTTTGAATTACCTGTTATCTGGGCCTTATTTACTTACCTGTAACTTACCCACAGACTTAAGAGCGACTTACAGTCTGACATGTGATTTTCCCACACAGGTAACAACGTAACTTATAAAATTACTTTTTACTTAACCCGCAGGCTTTCTATTGACATACTGACTTGTGACTTAGCCCACATACTTAAGAGCGGCTTACAGTCTGACATGTGATTTTCTCACACAGGTAGCAACGTAGCTTATAAAATTACTTTTTACTTAACCCGCAGGCTTTCTATTGACATACTGACTTGTGACTTAGCCCACATACTTAAGAGCGGCTTACAGTCTGACATGTGATTTTCTCACACAGGTAGCAACGTAGCTTATAAAATTACTTTTTACTTAACCCGCAGGCTTTCTATTGACATACTGACTTGTGACTTAGCCCACATACTTAAGTGCGACTTACAGTCTGACATGTGATTTTCCCACACAGGTAGCAACGTAACTTATAAAATTACTTTTTACTTAACCCGCATGCTTTCTATTGACATACTGACTTGTGACTTCGCCCACATACTTACATGTGATTTTACCGACTTTCCGGTGACTTAGACTCAGTCTTACCTATGACATAGATTGTCGTCTTCACCTCCCCATACAAAGAAGCAGTTAGAGTAACCATTTGCTTTCACAAATTGTTTGTAGGTTACGCTCAGTATCCCTCCTATGAGTTTTTCATACAAAAGTCTGCAACATAAAAAAATATTGATGAATTTTAAAAGTTTGCTTTAGTTTTCATTCTGTGACAGACGCATTAAATGAGGAATAAAAAGGGGAGATAATAAAAAAAGTCATGAAAAGTTATTGATATGCAAAACAAGGTATCATGATTTGTTTCATATTTTCCCCCAGTGAATTCGTAGCTTGAAATAAAACTTCAACATTGAAAAGATCCCCATTTTATAAACAAGATGTTCAGCAGTTGTCTTATTTCTACGCGTTTTGCTATAAAAATATTTGTCGCTTTATAACAACATTTCTAATCGCACTTTTTTATGATGAAATACGTATCTGGATGCCTTATGATTTTAGAATAGTTACTTTGTGCTTCATGTTCAATCGTTAACGGTGTTGCATAAGAAACCCAATTAAATCGTCTCCACTTAAAAAGAGTTCTTAATAGCAATATCTGTTAAAGTCCGTATGCATCGAAATAGTATAACACGAGAATATATAGTCTCCCTTACTTGTAATCAAACATATCAACAAACGCTCCGATGTGGTGAATCTTTTGCTGGAAAAGGTTGTCACACATGAACAAGTTCCGGTCGTCCTCAATAAGTGTATCAACGTCATTAAATACGTAACAATCGTATTTGGCATGTTTCGAGGCTTCCACAAATCCTATATTGCGCATCATCCCTCTGTTGAAATGATTTTCAGGTGTCTGTGAAATATTCCACATTTAAAATCGTTCATAAAAAATAAACGTGCAAACGTGATACTATGTAATCCAAACTTATTCGTATTCAAAGAATGATTTGTGCTGAAGATGCCAGCCATCTTATCTTTAAAAAGATTGCAAACTGGATTGAATAATGTGACTATAATTGAACCTTCCCGTCTACATTCAGATATCTAAGTTTGATATAGGTCCTTAGCATCATTGACGAGTCCTAGAAGGACGAAACAGCAGTATGATGTAGCATCACTGACGAGTTATAGAAGGACGAAACAGCTGTATGATGCAGCATCACTGACGAGTCCTAGAAGGACGAAACAATTGCATGATGTAGCATCACTGACGAGTCCTAGAAGGACGAAACGATTGTATGATGCAGTATCACTGGCGAGTCGTAAAAGGACGAAACAATTGTATGATGCAGTATCACTGGCGGGTCGTAAAAGGACGAAACGATTGTATGATGCAGTATCACTGACGAGTCCTAGAAGGACGAAACGATTGTATGATGCAGTATCACTGGCGGGTCGTAAAAGGACGAAACAGCTGTATGATGTAGTTAAATTCATTTATAAGATATATTATATCTAAATTTAAATTCTCTACAATATTTGATTCTATTGTGTCTACCTCTAAATTTGCATTAAAGGTGTTATTCACGTGTGTGTCTTTTGTACAATCTTTGCTTAATATCAGTATTAGGTCAACAGAATTAGTTTATCAGCATATTTCACATACGAACATGCATTCTCATCAGATTTACAATCCTTATGTTTGAAGTAGCTCCAAATGATAATAAAAAAGTCTTAAAAACCTACGATATGCCATTGAAAAATGTGGCTAGTCTGTGATGTTTATCAAACAGTTTAGCTATAATTAATTCAAATGAAAGAATTATTTACACAAAGACTCCAGAAAACGTACAAGGAGAATAAGACCAGGTTCCAGAAAACTGTCCCTCAATTCCAGTAAGTTTGTTCATGTTCCTTAATGAGAACAACAGCGTAACCATCCACCACTGACAAATCCTAGTTTCACCGATGTTAAGTTTGAAGATTTTGTTAAAAAGTCATTATATTTTTATACTCATGCCGAACCCCTTACAACGATTAATTATAAGTATAATTTAGACATCCTTGTGTTTCAGGGGCCCGAGGTCAAGGTCAATGTCATCCATGCTATGTATAGAAAATCCTCAACTAATTCAAATTAAACACATAACAACTTCATTCTTTCATTGAATTTGGTCAAACTTTATACAAAGATTACGTATGAATATACTGTGGACATTGTTTCAGGGTTCAAGGGTCAAGGCCTTGGCGGCGGAGGTACTTACGACTTACAGATATTTTACTTTTTGTCTACTCAAAATCCTGATTCAGTCTGTTTCGCTCTAATACCAATTATTTCATGCAGAGAGTGTGTGTGGACCCATATATACTCTTTAACTATCAGTTGTATTGTTGAATTGTTGCGTACACTTTGTGGAAGGAATCAGTGCGCAAAGGTCAGGATAACAAGTCGACGGTGGCACATGACATTTAGACAAGAAATTCAAGAATCGGAGACTAGTATTGTACGAGACCACAATGAAAAATATAGAAAATGAAACGAGCTCAAAATTTCGATAGCGGATAAGCATTGATACAGTACATGTCGTCATTGTTTTAGCATTTGAATACACAAATGTTGCGTTTTAAGACGTCGGAAAAATGAAAACAGCGGAATATAATATCCCCTCACTTATCATCGATTGGTATTTACCCTGAGAATCAATATAAAAGGCCAGTTTACAATGGATGCTATTCAAGAGAACATTCTATGTGTTTTTGTACAATTCTCTGAATAAGAAACGTGTTGTTCACTTTTGTGTATTTTGTACAATTTCTGAATAAGAAACGTGTTGTTCACTTTTGTGTATTTTGTACAATTTCTGAATAAGAAACGTGTTGTTCACTTTTGTGTATTTTGTACAATTTCTGAATAAGAAACGTGTTGTTCACTTTTGTGTATTTTGTACAATTTCTGAATAAGAAACGTGTTGTTCACTTTTGTGTATTTTGTACAATTTCTGAATAAGAAACGTGTTGTTCACTTTTGTGTATTTTGTACAATTTCTGAATAAGAAAAGTATTTTCCACCTTAGTGTATTTTTGATAACTCTCTGTATTAGAAAGGCATCATTCGCTTGTGTGTATTTTTGTACAAAACTTTGTATTAGAAAATTGTTATTCGCTTGTGCTTGTTGTACAAAGGTCTGTAAAAAAATGTTGTTCGCTTGTGCTTGTTGTACAAAGGTCTGTAAAAAAAATGTTATTCGCTTGTGCTTGTTGTACAAAGCTCCGTAGAAGAATAGCATCATTCCTCTGTGTATTTTGTACAATGTACAATAGAAAAATGTTACTCGACTTTGTAAATTTTGTACAGTTTATATGAATGAGGGAATTGAAAGACAAAAGTATCAACAGCACTTCAAACACACAAAAGTAACATTTATCACTTGTTATATACGATATATGAAGAATTGAATTAAACTGTATGGCACATCAGGTTAGTCTTTTCAGTACTTTTAGTGATGCCAAAGGCTTGAAATGTTGAAATGAGAGAAACGACTTTGAAAAATAAATAAACAAAAAAATGTTAAAAAAGATATATAATAGGGAGCTTAACTAACATTATGATTACGTCATTTCAGTTTGAAAAAAAATGCATATGAAGAATATTGAATGAGAAAAAAACATTGTGTAGCGTTTGTTCGCAGCGCTTCAAACTGATTGTCATACCAGAATCTTGGAAGGAAACCGCGGAGTAATGTAGGATGATTCTAGTACCGCGAGGTAATGTAGGATGATTCTAGTACCGCGGAGTAATGTAGGATGATTCTAGTACCGCGGGGTAATGTAGGATGATTCTAGTACCGCGGGGTAATGTAGGATGATTCTAGTACCGCGGGGTAATGTAGGATGATTCTAGTACCGCGAGGTAATGTAGGATGATTCTAGTACCACGGAGTAATGTAGGATGACTCTAGTACCGCGGGATAATGTAGGATGATTCTAGTACCGCGGGATAATGTAGGATGATTCTAGTACCGCGGGGTAATGTAGGATGATTCTAGTACCGCGGGGTAATGTAGGATGATTCTAGTACCGCGGGGTAATGTAGGATGATTCTAGTACCGCGGGGTAATGTAGGATGATTCTAGTACCGCGGGGTAATGTAGGATGATTCTAGTACCGCGAGGTAATGTAGGATGATTCTAGTACCGCGGGGTAATGTAGGATGATTCTAGTACCGCGGGGTAATGTAGGATGATTCTAGTACCGCGAATGTAGGATGATTCTAGTAATGTAGGATAATTCTAGTACCGCGGAGTAATGTAGGATGATTCTAGTACCACGGGGTAATGTAGGATGATTCTAGTACCGCGGGATAATGTAGGATGATTCTAGTACCGCGAGGTAATGTAGGATGATTCTAGTACCGCGGGGTAATGTAGGATGATTCTAGTACCGCGAGGTAATGTAGGATGATTCTAGTACCGCGGAGTAATGTAGGATGATTCTAGTACCGCGGGGTAATGTAGGATGATTCTAGTACCACGGAGTAATGTAGGATGATTCTAGTACCGCGGGGTAATGTAGGATGATTCTAGTACCACGGAGTAATGTAGGATGATTCTAGTACCGCGGGGTAATGTAGGATGATTCTAGTACCGCGGGGTAATGTAGGATGATTCTAGTACCGCGGAGTAATGTAGGATGATTCTAGTACCGCGGGGTAATGTAGGATGATTCTAGTACCGCGGAGTAATGTAGGATGATTCTAGTACCGCGGAGTAATGTAGGATGATTCTAGTACCGCGGGGTAATGTAGGATGATTCTAGTACCGCGGAGTAATGTAGGATGATTCTAGTACCGCGGGATAATGTAGGATGATTCTAGTACCGCGGGTTAATGTAGGATAATTCTAGTACCGCGGAGTAATGTAGGATGATTCTAGTACCGCGAGGTAATGTAGGATGATTCTAGTACCGCGGGTAATGTAGGATGATTCTAGTACCGCGGGGTAATGTAGGATGATTCTAGTACCGCGGGGTAATGTAGGATGATTCTAGTACCGCGAGGTAATGTAGGATGATTCTAGTACCGCGGGGTAATGTAGGATGATTCTAGTACCGCGGGGTAATGTAGGATGATTCTAGTACCGCGGGGTAATGTAGGATGATTCTAGTACCACGGAGTAATGTAGGATGATTCTAGTACCGCGAGGTAATGTAGGATGATTCTAGTACCGCGGGGTAATGTAGGATGATTCTAGTACCGCGAGTACCGCGGGGTAATGTAGGATGATTCTAGTACCGCGGAGTAATGTAGGATGATTCTAGTACCGCGGAGTAATGTAGGATGATTCTAGTACCGCGGAGTAATGTAGGATGATTCTAGTACCGCGGAGTAATGTAGGATGATTCTAGTACCGCGGAGTAATGTAGGATGATTCTAGTACCGCGGGGTAATGTAGGATGATTCTAGTACCGCGAGGTAATGTAGGATGATTCTAGTACCGCGGGGTAATGTAGGATGATTCTAGTACCACGGAGTAATGTAGGATGATTCTAGTACCGCGGGGTAATGTAGGATGATTCTAGTACCGCGGGGTAATGTAGGATGATTCTAGTACCGCGTGGTAATGTAGGATGATTCTAGTACCGCGGAATGTAGTAATGTAGGATGATTCTAGTACCGCGGGTAATGTAGGATGATTCTAGTACCGCGGGGTAATGTAGGATGATTCTAGTACCGCGGGGTAATGTAGGATGATTCTAGTACCACGGAGTAATGTAGGATGATTCTAGTACCGCGGGGTAATGTAGGATGATTCTAGTACCGCGGAGTAATGTAGGATGATTCTAGTACCGCGGGGTAATGTAGGATGATTCTAGTACCGCGGGATAATGTAGGATGATTCTAGTACCACGGAGTAATGTAGGATGACTCTAGTACCGCGGGATAATGTAGGATGAGTCTAGTACCGTGGAGTAATGTAGGATGAGTCTAGTACCACGGAGTAATGTAGGATGATTCTAGTACCGTGGGGTAATATAGGATTATTCTAATACCGCGGAGTAATAATGTAATGTACCGCGGGGATAGATTCTAGTACCGCGGGTAATGTAGGATGATTCTAGTACCGCGGGGTAATGTAGGATGATTCTAGTACCGCGGGGTAATGTAGGATGATTCTAGTACCACGGTAGGATGATTCTAGTACCACGTAATGTAGGATGATTCTAGTACCGCGGGTAATGTAGGATGATTCTAGTACCGCGGGTAATGTAGGATGATTCTAGTACCACGGAGTAATGTAGGATGACTCTAGTACCGCGGGATAATGTAGGATGATTCTAGTACCACGGAGTAATGTAGGATGATTCTAGTACCGCGGGGTAATGTAGGATGATTCTAGTACCGCGGGGTAATGTAGGATGATTCTAGTACCGCGGGGTAATGTAGGATGATTCTAGTACCGCGGAGTAATGTAGGATGATTCTAGTACCGCGGAGTAATGTAGGATGATTCTAGTACCGCGGGGTAATGTAGGATGATTCTAGTACCGCGGGGTAATGTAGGATGATTCTAGTACCGCGGGATAATGTAGGATGATTCTAGTACCGCGGGATAATGTAGGATGATTCTATCACCACGACATAATGTAGGATGATTCTAGTACCGCGGAGTAATGTAGGATGATTCTAGTACCGCGGAGTAATGTAGGATGATTCTAGTACCGCGGAGTAATGTAGGATGATTCTAGTACCGCGGAGTAATGTAGGATGATTCAAGTACCGCGGGGTAATGTAGGATGATTATAGTACCACGGAGTAATGTAGGATGATTCTATCACCACGAGATAATGTAGGATGACTCTAGTACCGCGGGATAATGTAGGATGATTCTAGTACCGCGGGGTAATGTAGGATGATTCTAGTACCGCGAGGTAATGTAGGATGATTCTAGTACCGCGAGGTAATGTAGGATGATTCTAGTACCGCGAGGTAATGTAGGATGATTCTAGTACCGCGGGGTAATATAGGATGATTCTAGTACCGGGGGGTAATGTAGGATGATTCAAGTACCGCGGGGTAATGTAGGATGATTATAGTACCACGGAGTAATGTAGGATGATTCTAGTACCGCGGGTAATGTAGGATGATAGTACCGCGGATGTAGGATGATCTAGTACCGCGGGGTAATGTAGGATGATGTACCGCGATAATGTAGGATGATTCTAGTACCGCGGAGTAATGTAGGATGATTCTAGTACCGTGGAGTAATGTAGGATGAGTCTAGTACCGTGGAGTAATGTAGGATGAGTCTAGTACCACGGAGTAATGTAGGATGATTCTAGTACCGCGAGGTAATGTAGGATGATTCTAGTACCGCGGGGTAATGTAGGATGATTCTAGTACCGCGGGGTAATGTAGGATGATTCTAGTACCGCGGGGTAATGTAGGATGATTCTAGTACCGCGGGGTAATGTAGGATGATTCTAGTACCGCGGAGTAATGTAGGATGATTCTAGTACCACGGAGTAATGTAGGATGATTCTAGTACCGCGGGGTAATGTAGGATGATTCTAGTACCGCGGGGTAATGTAGGATGATTCTAGTACCACGGAGTAATGTAGGATGATTCTAGTACCGCGGGGTAATGTAGGATGATTCTAGTACCGCGGGGTAATGTAGGATGATTCTAGTACCGCGGGTAATGTAATGTAGGATAATGTAGGATGATCTAGTACCGCGGGGTAATGTAGGATGATTCTAGTACCGCGGGGTAATGTAGGATGATTCTAGTACCGCGGGGTAATGTAGGATGATTCTAGTACCGCGGGATAATGTAGGATGATTCTAGTACCACGGAGTAATGTAATGTAGTACCGATGATTCTAGTACCGCGGAGTAATGTAGGATGTAGGATGATTCTAGTACCGCGAAGTAATGTAGGATGATTCTAGTACCGCGAGGTAATGTAGGATGATTCTAGTAGGATGATTCTAGTACCGCGGGGTAATGTAGGATGATTCTAGTACCACGGAGTAATGTAGAATGATTCTAGTACCGCGGGGTAATGTAGGATGATTCTAGTACCACGGAGTAATGTAGGATGATTCTAGTACCGTGGAGTAATGTAGAATGATTCTAGTACCGCGAGGTAATGTAGGATGATTCTAGTACCGCGGGGTAATGTAGGATGATTCTAGTACCACGGAGTAATGTAGGATGATTCTAGTACCGCGGAGTAATGTAGGATGATTCTAGTACCGTGGGGTAATATAGGATTATTCTAATACCGCGGAGTAATGTAGGATGATTCTAGTACCGCGAGGTAATGTAGGATGATTCTAGTACCGCGGAGTAATGTAGGATGATTCTAGTACCGCGAGGTAATGTAGGATGATTCTAGTACCGCGGAGTAATGTAGGATGACTCTAGTACCACGGAGTAATGTAGGATGATTCTAGTACCATGGTGTATTGAATCATTAAGTTGAGGCTGATCAAGCCTATCATTGGATTCTTTAATGTCTTTTTTATAAGTGGTCTCTCTAATTAGTTTCCAACGCAGCAAAAGGTACATACATTTATTTGGTTACATTTACTTGCGGAATCAAATATCCACGAAAAAGTGATCGTTTGAAAACCCACTGAAATTGAGACCCACGAAAATATATGGTTTCACAGGAAAATGTATGAGGACTATTTAATTGGTCGCCTTTTCAGCGATATATCTTTCCGTTCTCCTTCATGGACTTCAACCATAAACAAAACACTAATCTCTTGGACGATGTATAATTTGTTAGACTCTGTTTCGCTCTTTTCTATGACGGAATATAATCACGAAAATTAGTTTCCTTGAAAATCACGTTAAAAGAATATATATATACACATGATGATTTTTTTAAACTCTCAAACTTCTGATGAAACCTAGAAAACTTTATCCATCTGAATTTTTTTTACCTGTTCCACTACATATATAGTATAGTCCAGCTGTTGACGCTGTAGTTTGGGCAAGACGTTAGCAATGAATAACTTCAGATGAGGGTCCCGATCTTTATATGGGATAATAATGGCTACCCGGAACTTAGCCTGACATTGCATAGGTCTCCATCTCCCAGCTACGGTATCCGCGAACATTTTTTCTAGGTGATTCCACTGATGATATTTCATTGTTATGGGTTCTCGTCCATCTGAAACAATACATAAAAAAAGGTTTTCAGGAAGGGCAGGTGTTTTCATGACATTTATCATATCAATGCTGTTCAATCCCATATTAAATAATGTAACGTTCCCATCATAGGAATAAGGGCAACAGTGACGGAACATCAAAGAACATGCGAGACTAACGTCATAATTCTACCTGGTTTAAAGCAAGCATTTCCATCGGATGTTTTTTCTCATGTATCACCGAATATGTATGTCGCCATCCATGAATGATTTTGTAAGCTTTTGTTTCGGTATATCAAATATAATTAAAAGCCGACATAACTTGCTACATAAGGAACAATCAAAGTAATGGGACTGCTCTCAAGGACAACTTCATGGTCAACGTTTAAATTCGCATTGATATTTGACGTTAATTATGCCTAAGTAAGTATGTATTTATAAATGTGAACGACCGTGCCTCTGTAAAATGGCAAACTAACAGAAATAGTTTGTCTTGAAAAAATAGACAAACTTTGTATTGACGAGATCGGAATATACCTCAAACTGTCCATTATTGTATATGCTGATGATACCGTTCTGTTGTCAGAAACATCAGATGGTTTATTATTAGCTAGAAATGAATTTGATCAATACTGCAATACTTTCCATTATACATTATTACAAAGATGTACAAAGTAATGTAATTCAAGTTGAGGTTTTATAAAGAAATCCCTTTTTATGTTCTGAGTAGTTTGTAAATCTGAAGTTTTATACCACAAGATTCACACAATGAAATATTCAGCTCAATACATATCACCGTTAACCTACACAGAAAATGAAACCCTATAAATATATATCACCGGTAACCTACACAGAAAATGAAACCCGTTAAATATATATCACCGGTAACCTACACAGAAAATGAAACCCTATGAATATATATCACCGGTAACCTACACAGAAAATGAAACCCTATAAATATATATCACCGGTAACCTACACAGAAAATGAAACCCGTTAAATATATATCACCGGTAACCTACACAGAAAATGAAACCCGTTAAATATATATCACCGGTAACCTACACAGAAAATAAAGCCCGTTAAATATATATCACAGGTAACCTACACAGAAAATGAAACCCGTTAAATATATATCACCGGTAACCTACACAGAAAATGAAACCCGTTAAATATATATCACCGGTAACCTACACAGAAAATGAAACCCGTTAAATATATATCACAGGTAACCTACACAAAAAATGAAACCCGATAAATATATATCACAGGTAACCTACAAAGAAAATGAAACCCGTTAAATATATATCACCGAAAATGAAACCCGTATACACAGAAAATGAAACCCGTTAAATATATATCACCGGTAACCTACACAGAAAATGAAACCCGTTAAATATATATCACCGGTAACCTACACAGAAAATGAAACCCGTTAAATATATATCACCGGTAACCTACACAGAAAATGAAACCCGTTAAATATATATCACCGGTAACCTACACAGAAAATGAAACCCGTTAAATATATATCACCGGTAACCTACACAGAAAATGAAACCCGTTAAATATATATCACCGGTAACCTACACAGAAAATGAAACCCGTAACCTACACATAAACCCGTATATATATCAATATATATATATCACCGGTAACCTACACAGAAAATATATCAAACCCGAAAATTAAATATATATCACCGGTAACCTACACAGAAAATGAAACCCGTTAAATATATATCACCGGTAACCTACACAGAAAATGAAACCCGTTAAATATATATCACAGGTAACCTACACAGAAAATAAAACCCGTTAAATATATATCACCGGTAACCTACACAGAAAATGAAACCCGTTAAATATATATCACCGGTAACCTACACAGAAAATGAAACCCGTTAAATATATATCACAGGTAACCTACAAAGAAAATGAAACCCGTTAAATATATATCACCGGTAACCTACACAGAAAATAAAGCCCGTTAAATATATATCACAGGTAACCTACACGGAAAATAAAACCCTATAAATATATATCACAGGTAACCTACACAGAAAATGAAACCCGTTAAATATATATCACCGGTAACCTACACAGAAAATGAAACCCGTTAAATATATATCACCGGTAACCTACACAGAAAATGAAACCCTATAAATATATATCACAGGTTACCTACACAGAAAATGAAACCCTATAAATATATATCACCGGTAACCTACACAGAAAATGAAACCCTATAAATATATATCACAGGTAACCTACACAGAAAATAAAACCCGTTAAATATATCTAAAAGAAAAATGGGATTAACAAATGAATAATAATTTAAGAAAATAATTCACTTACGAAATGTTGACTGATTGTGAACACAGTCTGGTAAATTACCCATGAAACTTGTTGGCTGGTGCTGCGTACTCTCCCGTGGTACTTGTCCGTCAGACGTTGTAATATTTTCTTCCGTTTTGTTTCTTTCTTCGTGTCCTTTATCTGTCGTGTAGCGACTTAACAAATCATCACCAATTGTTCGTCTTTCGGAGTTAATTTTATGTGTAACAATCAACGTCACGGCCATCTGATGTATAATTAATGTAAGTAAAAGCAGACCTATTACCATGGTTCCTGTCTTTGAACATATCGATGTCGGGACTCTCAGTACCCGTGTCATATACCTATAAAACATAGTGTCTCTCTTTTTCATTGTAACGAATATGAACATCCTTAATGTACAAATTTCTTATGTATATGACCAGTATTGAGACGCACACATGGACACACACACATTGACATATAAACATGAAAAACATTTGACAAGTACTGTCTTTTAATATTCAGCTTAGGGCGGTATCATCTAACGCGGTCTGTTATCACAAGACTGGAGGCCATTCCATTTAACTTTCTGTGTTGTTATCAATTCTGCAATTAGTGGCTAAGTGATGAAGTGATTTAGTTTCTGCTATATCTATTTCTCCTGGGAAATACCGAAAACTAAAAGAACTCTCAAAATAAGCAACGTTTACAATACGTTGCCCATTGAACCTAAAAATGTTGTGATAAATGTGCCGTCTAATTGTCTATCTGACGAAACAGGAAAAATCAGAGTTTGGAGGAATGAGTCTATTGCCTGGCTTTTGAAATACATACAGTTTTTGTTAATAATACATACAGAAAACTGCAAACGTACGTATTGCAGCCGTGATCAATATTTTGGATGTTTTGAGATGAAAGTGTTTTGTTTTTTGTTCTCCATTTAATCAATCGTATTTACATTTACACGGCAATTCTCGTGGCCATTATGACGTCAGTATTGCCTGCATAGAAACGACAACGATCCGCCGTTTAAATAGCTGTTCCATTTAACGGCTGACACTGTCGATAATAAATGCTGTAGGGGGACATTACTTTCTGTGCCTTAGCTTTCGTCTACCGGTGTCCCTCTTCGTTTCCATACCCGCAATCATGTGAATTCTAAAATTACAGAGATAATTACGTATTTTCTTACAAATCGACTTTACTGAAAACCATGCTATCAAATAAAATACATTTCCCCCCCCCCCCCCCCCCCCCCATGGGGCATGAACCGGGGTCCCTGGCCCACCCTAAATTTCCCCAACCCTGACATAGTTTTTGTTATTTGTGTGTTTATATGATTTAATCAGGACAATGAGAGACAATATTGATGAAAGTTAATTAGTAAGAAATGATTTGCCGTGGTAATGTAAAACCACCTTCCCACCCCTATATTTCCCAACCTTTTTCATAATTGTTTTTGTATTATTTAAGATTAAGGAACATAATCAAGTAAACTGATAAGAAATTTAGTGAAGAAACAATAATTGAAAACAAACTACAAAGCGGCTTCACTTTACCAGAAAAAAAAGGGGGAGGGGGCGGGCATTTCACCATAATGGTGAAATGAACCGCGGTTCACTTTACCATGGGCTTTTACTTTATCATACTATACCGGTCATTCGTTTCTGTCATCTTGAAAACCCTATCCTTTAAAATCGTCCGATATGTCTTGTCAATTATCAGCGTTCTTCGCAATTTTAAATGCCATAAGGCCCCCGGAAATAAGTTTGATCTGAAATGACACGTAAACACGTGTACAACTTCGTTTGTCAGGCCCCTGTGGCGCTGACATGATATCGTTACAATAAACAAGGTCTAATAGATTGTGACCTGAGCCCACGGCAGAAATGTGAAACTATAACTTTTTAACTGGATAAATCACCGTGTAGGATTTTAACTCAACTCGCTATCTGCGCCGCGCGCGTAGTGATATGACGTAATGAATGAAGGACTCACGCGTAACGTCATCGTATCACACACCGAGGTTTTTCGGTACCTCCGCAAATAAAGATCGTTTGAAAAATGGTCCGTTTGTCAATCTTTGTCGAACTTTTTTGTTTTCTTTTACGTAATCTGAATTGAATAAACGTTGAAATTCATATTATACAAAATATATCCCTGTTGCTTTATTGCAGTTCCCCTAATTAAAAATCGTACTACGTCGAAAAACTGCGGCCAAAAAATACATTATTTTTTCAAGGTGGGTTCATGCTATAAGATTTGCTTATAACTTACCAGTAAAACACAAGATTTTTTTCTAACAAATGTCCACAGATGCGACCTCAAATTCGCCCACCTGAAAAGACCGCCTGTGTATCAGATATTCTCCCGTCTCTGATGAAATCACAAAATCACAGACACTTGAGTGAGTGTTTTACAGTGGCCCAGTAATACAAAAAATCGTCGATTGAACGGGAAAAACATTATTATGAAAAAAAAATCGTCATTGTGTGAAAATTGTGAATATCTGTGCTTACACCTTCATTTTATTGTTTGGTGGTTTTCCCCAAATGAGTCATTTCTTTATGAACTTCCTTTAATTTTAAACAATATTTCATTCAATATAACAACAAAATAAACAGACAGGTGTTTACATTTTGGGATAGGAAATCACATGGGAATACCAGGCAATGAAAAAGCAGAACATGTCGCAAAGGCAGCTTCATCGCTACCACCTGTTGTTTTTAGTGGCAGGAGGAATGGAATCAATAAATTGCATTCCGTAAAAATTATTATCAGTGAATGGTCTCCATGCTATAGAGACAACCACCGAGATGAAGATGTGCTTGGCCATCTTCGGATGGGCCTTACCTACCTTACACATTCATATATGTTGAAAGGCGAAGATTATCCTCGGCGCATAGGATATGATGAGCCATTCACCGTTAAACGTTTTTTATTGGACTACATTGACATTCTGTCGACTCGAGAACTTTTTTATCGTAAAGTTACAAGTCTAAAGCTCCTTTTTGAAACTTGAGATTTATAAAATTCTAGGTTATCTGAAAGATGTTTGTCTATAGACTATGACGTACCATTTCAATCTTTTGTGATAATATAACCACTTAAGATTTCTAACATTTGTCTTTTACCTTTTAGTTTGTGTGATATTATTTCCTTTTTGGATCGCTGTGTGTTTTACCGGCTGATGGCCCTAATGACATTTGATGTGTTGATGGGCTGTTAAGATTGTAATGATAATAACAATAATGACAACCGTATTAAAAAAATAACCAGAATACCAGGTTCACATAACGCCTGTTACTAAAATATTATATAGAGTTTGAAACTTCAGCTAATTTATCAGTATAGATAAGGTTACAAATACTGACACAAACAACAGAAACAAAGTACTAACACAAACAACAGAAACAAAGTACTGACACAAACAACAGAAAGTACTGACACAAACAACAGAAACAAAGTACTGACACAAACAACAGAAACAAAGTACTGACACAAACAACAGAAACAAAGTACTGACACAAACAACAGAAACAAAGTACTGACACAAACAACAGAAACAAAGTACTGACACAAACAACAGAAACAAAGTACTGACACAAACAACAGAAACAAAGTACTGACACAAACAACCGAAACAAAGTACTGACACAAACAACAGAAACAAAGTACTGATACAAACAACAGAAACAAAGTACTGACACAAACAACAGAAACAAACAACAGAAACAAAGTACTGACACAAACAACAGAAACAAAGTACTGACACAAACAACAGAAACAAAGTACTGACACAAACAACAGAAAGTACTGACACAAACAACAGAAACAAAGTACTGACACAAACAACAGAAACAAAGTACTGACACAAACAACAGAAACAAAGTACTGACACAAACAACAGAAACAAAGTACTGACACAAACAACAGAAACAAAGTACTGACACAAACAACAGAAACAAAGTACTGACACGAACAACAGAAACAAAGTTCTGACACAAACAACAGAAACAAAGTACTGACACAAACAACAGAAACAAAGTACTGACACAAACAACAGAAAGTACTGACACAAACAACAGAAAGTACTGACACAAACAACAGAAAGTACTGACACAAACAACAGAAACAAAGTACTGACTCAAACAACAGAAACAAACAACAGAAACAAAGATCTGACACAAACAACAGAAACAAAGTACTGACACAAACAACAGAAACATAGTACTGACACAAACAACAGAAACAAAGTACTGACACAAACAACAGAAACATAGTACTGACACAAACAACAGAAAGTACTGATACAAACAACAGAAACATAGTACTGACACAAACAACAGAAAGTACTGACACAAACAACAGAAAGTACTGACACAAACAACAGAAACAAAGTACTGACACAAACAACAGAAACAAAGTACTGACACAAACAATAGAAACAAAGTACTGACACAAACAACAGAAACAAAGTACTGACACAAACAACAGAAACAAAGTACTGACACAAACAACCGACACAAAGTACTGACACAAACAACAGAAAGTACTGACACAAACAACAGAAAGTACTGACACAAACAACAGAAACAAAGTACTGACACAAACAACAGAAACAAAGTACTGACACAAACAACAGAAACAAAGTACTGACACAAACAACAGAAACAAAGTTCTGACACAAACAACCGACACAAAGTACTGACACAAACAACAGAAAGTACTGACATAAACAACAGAAACAAAGTACTGACACAAACAACAGAAACAAAGTACTGACACAAACAACAGAAACAAAGTACTGACACAAACAACAGAAAGTACTGACACAAACAACAGAAACAAACAACAGAAACAAAGATCTGACACAAACAACAGAAACAAAGTACTGACACAAACAACAGAAAGTACTGACACAAACAACAGAAACATAGTACTGACACAAACAACAGAAAGTACTGACACAAACAACAGAAACAAAGTACTGACACAAACAACAGAAAGTACTGACACAAACAACAGAAACAAAGTATTGACACAAGTAACAGAAACAAAGTACTGACACAAACAACAGAAAGTACTGACACAAACAACAGAAACAAAGTTCTGACCCAAACAACAGAAACTAAGTACTGACACAAACAACAGAAACAAAGTACTGACACAAACAACAGAAAGTACTGACACAAACAACAGAAACAAAATTATCTGTGATTGTCGTGAATGTTGTATATGTTATAAATTTTATACAAACTAAAGAGTTCAGACATCATTTAAGACAGAAAAAATTAAGAGTTACCA